GATTCTAAATTCCGTTTAATAAAAAGATCACCGGAAAAATATCAGGACACGTCATGCCACAATTTTGTGCACTGAATGGCTCGCCCAATTAGTAACTGAACATCACCATTATCACCGATACGAAAAGAAGGGGGGAAGCCATCTTGCGTGAAGAATTAATACGGTTTTAAATCGTATTTCTATATTTATTTCACAATTTCAGATAATAGCCGTTCTTATTAGAGTTTAACTTAGAGACGTTCTTTGCTGTAGTACAGTATGTATTTAATGCCGTGATTTAACAACAATTGTATGGGTCTCTTGATAGCTATGATTTACGGTATATCTTCTTTTTAAGAGTAAAAGATTAATTATTCATTTTCATTTCACATTCGTATTTAATTATACAAATTTTAATATACTTTTTAATTTATTACAGATTATGAAATCATGGTCGCGATTACCCATGTGATCAATGAAAATGGGTTAAGTGGGTCAAAAACAATGGTTTTGTATGTATATGTTATTGATGATAACTGATTATTCACTAGGATACTGAGATACGTACTGTACATATAACGGTGGCCAAGGCCACCCTTATGACGTAGCATCCTCTGTAAATAAAACAGCGATTGTCATTAATACGTAATATGACCCCAATTAGGGATCTGCGTGACCTAAGAATTTTATAACATAGGCATTTTTTTGTTTGGTCTAAAAATGCCAGGCATTTTTGTATTTATATACTTCGTGCCTTGCATGGCTTAAGGGTGCTGAGTGCTAGGCATTGATGTGCCTACGAACATTTCATTTTTGGCTTAGACACGTAGCCAGACCTAAAAGTGCCAGACACTATTATAGACATAGGTTACCAAGTGCTTGGCACTTTTTTAGACGTGGCGCCTGGCAGTTTTTTACCTATGGCATAGGCATACCATAGTCATTAATGCCCAGCATGATGTGCCTGGCATGGGTACATGCAGAACCCTAACCCCAATAGCATGGTTATCGTATATTTCTGACGTAAGCATTCTGCTCATCTGGTGATCTGGTGTATCGCGTATTAGAAGTGAACTAATTACTCATACAAGTATTCAATAAATATTGTATAATATCTACTATATGTGACACGGTTGTTCCATATAGAGTGCCAAAACCCACCTCTAGGGTTGTTAATAGGTTGGGTTGACCCAATCTTCAGCTCATTTTGCTCCAGGTTGCTCCAATTTAAAGACATAATTTTTAAACCCGCTCCAACTTGGGTTGGGTTCTACTCCCGACCGAGGGTGCTCCGGAGCCAGCTGCTCCATTAAAAACCCTATCCACCTCTGAGTAAACTTAATAGTGATGTTTTTCATATTTCTGTATTAATGACGCACTGACGCTCCTTATTTGACATATGAAATAGTATTTAGCGAAACTTTACCAAAATTCAAAGCTTGATAAATCCCAAACTTCTGAAATGTAAAAACAGAAACTATCTAAAATATTAAAATGTTTACTTCATAAACCTTAGAAAGTATACGAATTGTAAGTCAATTAACGCGTGCATCAAAAAAGGGTCTCTGTCATTTACTGTATTACAGTATTACTCAATCCAACATTACAATTGTTTTTTCATAAATTTTGTGACAAATGAAAAAATTACTCAAGACCTAATCGATAAGTTGATTGACATCGGTGACTTATTGATTCGCAGAATTTAAAGTATGAAAATAGCAAGTACTTTGGTACTTTACAATATACTTATCTTGATGCAATTGTACTTTGGTACTTAACAATATACTTATCTTGATGCAATTGTACTATGGTACTTTAAAGTTTAGAAGAATCCGCACGGCAGTGAGTACGGATACTCTATAACAATAAGTATAAAGTCTAATATTATCTCGGTCAATTTATTATACAAGCCACTCGCGAGGTATTTAATCCATTGGAATAGTTATATATTATTCATTTGCGAGTACTGTACATAGTCGAGGTCTAAATTATCGTTATCAATTAAATCGATATATAAAAATCGGATTAGTTTGTATGCTTTTCCGATTAACGTTAATAAACACTTGCCATGCCATAACGGTGGCCCTTGGCCACCGTTATGGCATGGCATCCGCTATGTTAATGACATAGCCTAATAACATAGTTATTGTATATTTCTGACGTAAGCACCCAGCCATTTTTATGCATCTTTGGTGGGTCATTTTTAAACGTGATACACAAACTTCGCACACCTCCGATAGGTGAGCGTATCATGTAGAAGTGACCCAATAGCATACATGAAAATGGCCAGGTACTCACATAAGAAGTATACAATAAACGTTCTTAACAAATTTTAATTTAGTGAGCAGTACTTTTGTAAATCAATGTTTTTATTCAAATGATTACCGCAAATCAGATTTTTTTGTTAAAACATAGAGTCATAATATTGTCAATAATGATAATGATAATAATGAATGATAATGATAAGGGGAATTTCTGGGTTTTTTTTTGAAATAATGAATATCAGATTCTGAACTCTAATCTGCTAAAAATTTCGGAAAAAAATTCAATAACGTATACAATAACGTTAAATAAAGTGACTTTTTTTCTATACAAATATATACAATCACTAAAAAAAAAAAAATTTTTTTTTTTTTAAAGAAATTTGACCTTTTTTCCTCAGCAATTTTCGTAATTTTCAACAGACAGCTTATTAATATGCTCACAACATTTTATAAACGAATGCTTCAAAAGTTCACATGCACTAGGTCGGCATTCAGCCTCAACTATTAAACAATCTCTTAAAATTGATTCAAAATCAGGAGATATTCCTGATGGTAATGGTGGCGTTCCTACTGTTCTTATAAGTTCCACAACCTTAAGATTGATGAAAACATAAATTAGCATACAAATAAAAATAGATAAAAATAAGAAAAAAAAAACTTACCCTTCGTTGTCCCATTGGATACCATGGAGGTTTTCCTTCAAATAACTCTATGGCTAATATACCCAGAGACCAAATATCCACTTTACAATCGTAACTCTGGGCCTTTAATACTTCGGGAGACATCCAATATAAAGTACCAAGTTTTAGATTTGCGCGACATCGTAAA